GAAGTGGTTAAGGTGGCTGTGCTTTTGCAGTGGTTGGCACATTATCCATTATCCAGTCAGCGGCTGATTCACTTAGACAAGGTTTTTTGCGGGATTTTTCCCTTGGTTTTAAGAGTCCTAGATTAAGGAAGGATTCTAAATGTCTTAAATCTGCTACAGATAGGCCCGAGGTCGTTATTCTTCATAAGTTGCAAAACGAACTTGATCTCGGTAGAATTGCGGGACCTTTCGTTCATCCACCTTTCCCTAACTTACAGTGTTCACTGATTGGGCTTGTTCCTAAACAACAACCCGGCTCATTTTGACTAATCTACCATTTGTCATATCCCATGGGAAGTTCTGTGAATGACTTTATCGATAAAGATGAGTGCAAAGTACATTATGCATCTTTTGATTCAGCCATTGAGTTGGCAATGTCTGTTGGTTCCAATGCTTGGTTAGGAAAAACTGACATCAAGTCTGTTTTAGGCTGCTCCCCGTTGCCCCTTCGGATTACGAACTTCTCAGTTTTCAGTTTCAAAATCATTTTTACTGTGACAAATGCCTACCCATGGGCTGTTCAATGTAATGGGCATTGTTTGAGACCTTCAGTACCTTTTTAGAATTTCACGTGAAGCGGGTTTCCAGATCAGACACTATAACACATTACCTTGATGATTTTTTGTTCATTGGCGCAACCAAGGAACGATGTGAGTTATTTTTAAGTACATTTCAAGATGTCTGTGCACAGCTGCAAATTCAGCTTGCTGAAGAGAAGACAGAGGGCCCTTGTCAAACTATTACTTATTTTGGGTTTGGAAATTGATACAGTGCGGCACAAAATTTGGGTGCCAATCAGCAAAGTACGGGCACTCTGGGAAAAAATTCAGTCATGTATGGGACGGAGAAAGTTGTTCTTGCTAGTTCTGGCGGGGCTTCCAATTCCGACCGTATTTGCCAATGGTGGAAATAATCAGCATACTTTCTATAATTCATTATGATAAGTAACTTAGCCTCGTAATAAGAACTAGTAGTCAAGGAACCAAATGAAAAACACCGTGACTACCGCCCGTTTGTTCCGATGGGGCTAGTTTTCTGGTTGGCAAGCGTGCCTTTTTTGGGGGCCCACAGGATGCCAAGCATGGCAGGGTTTTGGGCAAGCGTGCCCCCATTTTTATGGCTAATTTAGACTATGCAAAAATTATAATTGAGAAACTAAAATAAAGAAAAAGATTAGCGGCACGAAGAGCGATGCCTTAAAGTCAATCTCCTGTTCCAAGTTGTGTTTTGTGTGTCATCTGAGAATAATTGCTCAGAACTAAAAAACCTAAACAATGCCGCCCTAAGCCTGACATTAATTCTTCCTTTACCGTGAACAACTCGAAATGCATGTAATTGTTGAAGCATTTGAAAATTCCCATGATGCCAGCTTTTGGAAAATTCCCCAAATCCCACAAACCTTGGCAGTGTAAATGTAATCTCCCATGAAATCAGAGATCCAAAGTTATTTTAAGCCAAACATTTCCATAGTTTCCCACCTTAACTTAAACCATTCATAAGATGGAGAAGCTGGCAAGATCAGCAATGGCATCAGCCCGGGTGG